AGAAGGATAGATTTGGTCCAAAAGGTACAAACACGATGAGCAACATTTACGTGAATAATGAAAGCAAAAAAAGAAAAGATAAAGAGTCTAATTATTGGTGTCTTGCAACTTATAAACATCCCATGTGGAATTTAACTCTATAATGTGTGTGTGTGTATATGTATATGCAAGGAAATTATACAATTATAATAAACAAAAACCAGATGGATATTTAAATTAACTTCTTATTCTTAAGTATATATTTAATTTGAATAAAATTAAACGATATTGCGGCGGCTAGAAATTCCCCAAATCGCGCCACCAATCACTCCTAGACATCATAAAAAAAAAAAAATTCTACGGAAAAAATTTATTTAACCACAAAAAAATAAGACATTATTAAGAAAATTTTGGTTTTTCTTTTTCTTTAAAAAAAAAAAAATTGAAAATAAATTTTCCGGTAGATGAGCAAAACCAGACAAAACTCCATGCAAGTTTTTGTATTTCTTTTCCAATTTATTTTTCTTCTCCGACAAGATTGATTTTTCTCAGACAAGAACAAGCAGTAAGCTGGTTTTGGTATTTTATACTCCGAAATATGTTTTCATACATTCTGTTTTACATGAAGAGTACTGGTCAACACTCAGAGGGTCGATCAAGACCAATGTAATGAAGCCACGATAATATATATACATATGTATATATGTATATAGCACTACGGAGATTACAAACATCAGCGAGAAAAAAAAAAAAAAAAGCCTGTAATTCTTATATATATAGATGTAGAAAGGATCAGAATATTATGGCAATGTGAAAGGCAGAAAAAGAAATTAGCTATTATTTACATAGATGTAATTTATAAAGAAAGAAAAAACAATGGTGATTTAATCATGTTTAAAAGTCATGGTGTTAAGATGGAGAACAGTTAGAGATTCCATCTCCTTTCATGCATCTTTCTTCATATTCTTTCTTGATTTTCTTGTTTTTCCATTTTCTGAAAAACTTTTTTTTTTTTTTTCTTCTTTTTGGGGTTCATGCTGACACTAGGGAGTAGTACTCTATCTCTAATCTGATGAACATATCCATGTTTCCACCATACCTTCACTTCTCGCTGTAACGTTCTCGGGCAGTCCAGTACCTTTATCTCCATGAAAATCCGATGAAGAATTGCCTTGTTGACCGTAGTTGTTGTTCAGTCTCTCATTGGTGGCGACGACCACGACTCTCTGAGAATTACCATAGTTGCCGCCATTAATGGACCTTAACAGACCTTGACCGCTCTCATTCGACCCAGCTGAGCCGCCCCCCCAGTTCACAGCATGACTATTGCTTTTGCTCTTGTTATCCGTTGCAGGCAATGTCACGTCCGATGAAGACACGATGGTTTGAAGACCGGTAAGGTTGGAGCCAACATGGGCATGGCTCAAGCCAAACTCCTCGAGAACACCCATTTTGAGATGAGACTCGGCCGGTGGGCTAATGTCTAAGGTGGAGCCTTGTGGTTTGGCGCCATGAACGGCGGAGATGGGAAGTGTGTATTTGGAAGGCGGAGGTTGAAGAAGAGAAAAGTTGAGAATTGGGGTGTTTTGATTTTGTGTATTTATGTTGAGGAGATTATGAGACTGTTGTTTTAAAAGGCCTAAATGATCGGAGGGTAGTAAGTGGTAGTTAACGGATGAAGTTGAAGTATTAGGAGTTACGAAGTTAGCGGTGGTGGTGGAGGTGGTGGCTATGGCGTCAACCAAAGAAGAAGAAGAAGAAGAAGAAGGGATAAAAGGGGGTGGGTGGATTTTCTGAGCAAATGGTCTGAGTAAGTATGGAGGTGGAGAGATAGATGACCTTAGAGTGGAGGACGGTGTGCCAAGCAGATCAAGGCGGCTTCTCGGGAAAGATGACGACGTGAATGGCGGTGCAGGGATCCCAGTAAACTCCTGAACCATGGCTCGGAAATTAGTGGTGTCTGTGGTCAACACAGTTGTTGGAGCACGCCTTGAAGCTCTGGATCTCTTCTTTGGGTTCCGTGCCATGTTAGTTCCGCCACCGCCGCTGTTCATATTATTTCCGGTGGCGTTAATGGTTTGGTCTGTTGACACCGAGCCTCTTGTGTTACAGCTTTCCGGTTCTTGATGAGCGATCTGTGCACCAGGAAAACTGGCTGCTCTGCTCTGCGCAGCGGCCGATGTCGTCGTGACCGCCGCAGCTTGTTGTTGGGTGGTTAAGAAATGTTGAGTTGGGGACGAAGCGGACATAAACCCGCCAAGATCGGGTTCGGATCTTAAAGTTTTCGACCAGACGATGTCGAGATTGAGAAGTGAGTTTGGGTTTGGTGATCTTGAAGATAAGGGGTCAAAGAAAGGGTCGAAGAGAGAGGAAGAGGAGAGTGTTTGGTGATGCTGATTATGGTGCGGCGGCGGCTGGTTCGGCGTGGGGACCGCCATGGCAGCTGCTTGATGGGTTGTTGTTCTTGTTAACGTTGAAGAAAAGCTGAGATGGATTCGACGCGTGAATCGTACTCTTCGTCTCCGCCGCTCGAAGACTGAATGCTTCCACTGTTGCCAGAATCCATGAGAGTGAGACAGATGCAGAGAGAGAGAGAGAGAGAGAGAGAGAGAGAGAGAAGAAAGAGCTAGAAAAGGAAATACGTAACAGAGACACAGATATGGAGATGGTGCAGAGAGATTTGCTTACTTACGCAGACCCATTTAAGAAGAAGCTACAAACAAAGCATGAGCTAATAAAATTTGACAGAGAGAGAGAGAGAGAGAGATTCTGGAAGAAGAGAAATCAGAAAGTACCCAAGATGGCTTTAAAGCTGTGATCTGCGAAGAAGACGACAGTGGGTTAAGCTTGCTTTTAGTTTGTCTATGGCTAAAACGGTGCGTATAAACAAAGGAATAAACAGCTCACGGATTATAAAAATTGATAGTTGCAGATGAGAGGTAAATAGATTTTAAAGTTAAAAAAGTTCGAATTAGGGTTTTTTCTGAAAGAGAAAGGAAGAAACAAGTTGCTTCTTGCCTTTTCCAGTTTTTCTTTTTTCTTTTTATGCTTCTTGTTTATTTTAGCTTTTTTAAAAAATAAAATAAAATCAGTCAAAGCAAGTAAGAGTTGTGGTTTTGGTTCACAGTGTGAAATGAGGAAATAATACTACTACGTATACGTATAGTAATTAAATAATAAAAATGAAAATAATTTAAAATTAATTAACAAAATATATATATATATATTATATTTGTGAGGGAATAATGAGGTGGGCAAGCGAACAAATTAGGGAAGATGGTTGTTGAATGGTGTAGTATAAAGAGGGAAGATAACAACCGTCACTTACTTTTTTTTATTTTATTTTTTTTTTTTCTTTCAAAACCCACAGTGTATTTTTAATTAAACCCCATTTTAATGAAAGAACTAACCATAAAATATAAGATTATTATACATCTATACACATATTAATATCTGTTTTCATTTAAAAATATATTATGATTAGTATATATATAATACATAATAATGAATATATGAATTTATTGGTTCAAAAAAATTATTATAATATAAATTTTCTTAGGTTCAATGTGCATATTCACAAGATATATATATGTGAAAGCCTATATATTAAATTAAAATTAATATAAATTTGGAAAATTTATGCTTGGAGAGAAGAGTATAAATCCTCATTGCATTAGTCTTTAGTGATGATTTTTCGGTAATTGTTTTTTTTTATACAAAGTGGTCAAACTTATTATTATTAATTAATGTTGAAAAAAAAAAACTAATTACAGCCTTTGACCAAGTCAAAGTTGAAACACTGGTAAAATATCAGAAGAAAATCTCATAATCTGGGGGGGGGGGGGGGTTATGATTGATGAACCTCAGGGAATCTTCTTTCACAGTCTTGGGTCTTCTTCCTCATATACCCTATAATAATATTAATAGTAATAAATACTAATTTTACAAAGAAAAGAAGAAAGCTTGATGGTACGATGGATATGGATAGATCAGTTCAACAACATCTCCCAGTTCGCTGCAACCATCAGAACTATAAAAGACACTTAATATAGTTAATGTGATTTAAATATGCTATTCGAATATAAAATAAATTAATTAATTACTATTTATTTATTTAATGTGACCAATTGATTTAATTTATATGACAGAAGTTGGAGAGTTTATAGGATATATACATGTCTTTATCATCTACGTGTTCCATACATGCATATCAATATATCCCTGTGCTCGCTCGCGTGTGTGTGTATATATATATATATATATATATATATATATATTCCTTTTTGATTAATTATCATGTGGATGCATAGCTTTTTATATATGGTATCTTTATAATTTGATATTGGCCCCTACTAGACCAAACCTAGACCTGCAAGCTGAATACTCACGTCTTCCAACCTCACACGTAATGTTACGAAAATAAAGCTGTTTGCCATATATTTATATCTACAGACTCATAGTATATATATATATGTATATAACTAGTAGGAAGTAGCTGTTACCATTTTTTTACCTTGACTACATCTAACCTTCATGTTATGTCGTTTTTCACTCCTTGGGATCTTACAACTTTAACATTTACAATCTTTTGTTGCTCTTTATATTTCCCTTTAAATTTATTTAGAAATGCAGTAAAAAACTTAAAAGAACTTAATAGGTAATGAGTTAAGATTAATTTATTATAAAGAGAAAATTACATCACAAATAGTTAATTAAAAAAATATACACAGAGTATTAAGTTTAATAATCTTGGAATTTTCTAATCAACGTATAACGTACGGTATGTTTGACGAACTAGCCATACACGTACACCCACGTGGCATTTAAATCTCTCAAATCACTTACCTAACTATGTCTCATTGAGTTGCTTGAACATGTAAAACTAGAAGTCGGTTTTAACTGTGGGTGGGGCCCGACTATTACAAAGATTTGTTCAATCAGGAACGTGGATTGATTTGACCTCCATCATTTTCAAACCGCATCTGGACCGCACGATCGGATGCTCCAACAGTCCGCTTTATTAATCTGAACCGTCAGTTGATGGGATATTCCTCTTGATGGTTCACCTGTGTGTCATAATTTCGGCTACCAAAGTGCTCCCTGATAAAATAAAATATAAAAATGTAATTTAAAATTTGGGGCTCTGATAAAATGAGTGGACCCTCAGGAACTTATCGTGAGGTCTTATTATTACATTTCATTTTCACCAACATCACTTAAACGTTGTGTAGATTTGTTGCTGACGACTCCTAATTTGGGCGACATTTTAAATGGGCATAAATCTTAATATTATTTTTTAATAATAATATTATTATACTTTGCAACTAATATTATATAGTTAACACCGTAATTATTCGATAATACCCATTTCTTAATCGTTGCATTTAGCTTGTTTTACCTTCTTTATAGTAATTAGATGAAAAGTTTAATAAACAATTAATGTAAGTATGTGTAATCTTTTATTATTCTATTATTTGTAGATAATTTTTAAATGACAAGAGTGTTTTTTACTAAACACTTAATTCAATTGTAATATTTCATTATATTTGACTCTGTAATCTTTGTAATTGTTCTTTAAATTTAATTTTTATAATATATTTTTTCTTTAAAGACATTTTTTATAACATTTTTAATATGCAAATCATATCTGATTTATACTAAAAATATTCACACTACATAATGAAAAATTTGTGACTTTTTTAATCTCATATTAAAAACATATAACCATAATCAGGCTAAGTTGTGATTTTTTTTTGTTTTACTTTTTCCATCCATTATATTATCTTACAATAAAAAATATCTTTCAAATATTTATATTATTTTTATAAATTAAAATTTATATATTTCATTAATTATCTAGGATTTAAATATCAATAATAATATAATTTACTAAAAAAACATACATAACATATAATGCCCAATTTTAATTTAATGTAAATTAAATTAATTTTATGCAATTTTTTAATTTTTTTTAATTTTAATTTAGTGTAAAACTGAAGAAATTTTGATAAAAATGAAATTGAAAACGATTTTGGAGAAAATATGTGAAAATTTGAGTTCTGATGGTACTTTTGAAAGAAGAATTAAAAAACGGGAGTCAAAATGTAATTTAAAAAATTTGTACCACGTAGGATGCCCAGTCAGCAACTCCAGCGAACCAGAACGCATCGTGTGGCAACGGACGCTGACGCGATGCCACGCGGGCGATCCGTGCGCTGCGATCGAACGGTCCAGATCCGTTCCCACGCGCACGGATAACCTGGATGCGTTCCTTCTCCAAACGAAATCGGACAATCAGATTTAAACGCGATCAGACAATCTGAATTTGATCGTGATGAACGGTCTATATTAGATCGCAATGAACGGTCTAGATCAAACGCGATGGATGGTCCATATTAAATGGAGACGGATATAAATAACTCATTCACACCAAACTCTAACCTTAGCTGCCAGACACCCTCGTCGGAGAAGAAGACCCAGCCACCAGGAAGAAGAGCTGTTGCCACCCGCCGCCGCGCTGGTGCTACTTCCGATCACCAAAAGAAGTAAAAAAAATTTATTTACTCGGAATTCAATTTTAAACACCCCCATGGCCAAATTGGAGGAAAAGAACCGGTTAATTGGCAGAAAATCGTGGGAAAAGCCCAGTAGCACCGCTGCAGGGAATTTAACAAAACACCTCCGATGAGGCCCTTCCTAATTCCCGTTTAGTGTAATTTTTCCACCATTATGATCACCGTTTCTTTTTATACAGGTTGACTGGAGCAAAACACCCAATCGCAACGTGAGCCAGAGGAGCCGTCGCACCGGAGAGTCCCGCCGCCGGTGAGTTTAAGTTTTTTGTATTTTTTTGGGCCAACTAAGGTCCCTTATCATATTTTCTCGCAAGATTGATGCAAAATCGATCGAATTCGGCAAAAAATAGCTGACCTGAGGTGGACTATCGCCGCGGGCGGCGGTAGTGCTGCCAGAGTACAACGGAGCCACTATGTCAGAATTCTGGAATTGGCCAAAATTGAGTCTTGAGACTGATTTTTTATTTTTTGAGATATTTGTAGGTATTTATAGCGCATTTTAATTCATGAAGAAAAATTCAGGGAACCCGGGGACCGCCAGTAAACGCAGTCAACAGTTTAGCATTTCGAGCACCAAATTGAATAAGAATCTCTCACCATATTCTTTATTATAGAATTAAAGTTTAAATAAATAATAATACAATATTTTGTATAATTCAGAAAATGTTTATAATTAATTACGATTTACTAATGGAAGCAGAACCGGAAATTATCTATTATTAATTTTGTTGAATTATTTTATAGTTAATTGCATGATAGTATTTCATTGATCGATTTTATACTTGTGAATGCATGTATTGTTTGATTTATGTGATTACATTAAATTGGAAAATGGAGACCAAAGAAAAACGAAAAATTGTGCGATTAAGTGAATGGATGAAACGACAGCCTTACTGGATATCATAGGAGATGGTGGATGGACCGGATACATAGAGAACCCTACCGTGAACATTGTCTCATACCGGACGGGGTATCAAAACAAGGTAATTTGGCATTCATACCGGATGGGGTATGGGGACGGGCGCGCTTCACCCTCATACCAGACGGTGTATTAAGCTGTAGTAATTTAGCAATCATACCGGACGGGGTATGAGGACGGCCTGTTAATTGAGAATGTTAAAGGAAAGGGTTCACGCATAGGGGGAACATCCCTATGAACCCCATGGATACTAGTAGGCTGGTAAATAGGGACAGTGATTGTTTTGGTTATCTGAATATGAAAGTATAATATGTGCTATGTTGCCGATTATATGTGAAATTATGATATATATATATAATGTTATTATTTCTATATGTTGTTTTTGTAAATTTCACCACGGTAAGTGGACATTAAATGATTTTATTGTTGATAAGTGAATTTGTTTAATTAAGACCTCCCTTAGTTGTTTTGATTTTCTACCAATCTTCATTTCTGTGTCGGTGAGT